CTTTAGAGGAGTTTGGTGCTCTCAGTGATCGACAGGGCGTACCCCTCTGTGTTGCCGCTGATATAAAACCTCTGCACAGTCGCCTACAAGGAAACAAAAGTTAGCATCTAATGGAGGGCGGTCCTGGATGGCGGAAGCAGAGGATACTATTAGCTAACTTTGCCCGTTGAAACATGTCAGGCTTGTTCTTGAATGGATAGAAACATCCAAACAGGAGCACACTGAGGTAATAATAACAATATGCAGGTATTGCAGAGAACGGAGCCAAGCAGCCGCTGTTGCCGAAAAAAGGGCCCTCATCCACGAGAACACTCGACCAGCTGACGTCATCATCTATACCGGTGGTCTCATCATCTATACCAGTGGTCTCATCCTCTATACCAGTGGTCTTATCATCTATATCAGTGGTCTCATCATCTATACCAGTGGTCTCATTATCTATACTAGTGGCCTCATCATCTATATCAGTGGTCTCATCATCTATACCAGTGGTCTCATTATCTATACTAGTGGCCTCGTCATCTATACCAGTGGTCTCATCATCTATACCAGTGGTCTTTTCATCTATACCAGTGGTCTCATCATCTATACCAGTAGTCTCATTATGTATACCAGTGCCCTCATCATCTATACCAGTGGTCTCATCATCTATACCAGTAGTCTCATTATGTATACTAGTGGCCTCATCATCTATACCGGTGGCCTCATCATCTATACCAGTGGCCTCATCATCTATACCAGTGGCCTCATCATCTATACCAGTGGTCTTATCATCTATACCAGTGGCCTCATCATCTATACCAGTGGCCTCATCATCTATACCAGTGGTCTCATCATCTATACCAGTGGTCTCATCATCTAAACCAGTAGTCTCATCATCTATACCAGTGGTTATCATCTATACAAGTAGTCAAATCATCTATACCAGTGGTCTCATCATCTTTACCAGTAGTCTCATTATGTATACCAGTGGCCTCATCATCTATACCAGTGGTCTCATCATCTATACCAGTAGTCTCATTATGTATACCAGTGGCCTCATCATCTATACCAGTGGCCTCATCATCTATACCAGTGGCCTCATCATCTATACCAGTGGTCTGATCATCTATACCAGTGGTCTCATCATCTATACCAGTGGTCTCATCAACTATACCAGTGGTCTCATCATCTATACCAGTGGTCTCATCAACTATACAAGTGGTCTCATCATCTATACCAGTAGTCTCATCATCTATACCAGTGGTTATCATCTATACAAGTAGTCAAATCATCTATACCAGTGGTCTCATCATCTTTACCAGTAGTCTCATTATGTATACCAGTGGCCTCATCATCTATACCAGTGGTTTCGTCATCTAAACCAATGGTCTCATCATCTATACCAGTGGTCTCATCATCTATACCAGTGGTCTCATCATCTATACCAGTGTTCTCAGCATTTATACCAGTGGTCTCATCATCTATATCAGTGGTTTCGTCATCTAAACCAATGGTCTCATCATCTATACCAGTGGTCTCTAGCCTTTCTCAGGTGGCGCCACCCCCTCTCCTTTGAGTATATGAGAAGAACCACCTCCATCCCCTTAACATATTAATCCGTTGTTGTTGTTTTTTAAATCAGTAGACATACAAACTGCTTATAGAAACATAAACGCCCTTGGCTTTTTGTGTTATAAATTGTGCTAAAATTATTGTATTTCTAATTAAACTGAAAAACATAGTATAGCTGATTATAACAAGTACAAATTTACTTATTTATTTTATTGCTTACACCCCCCCCCCTTTTCCATCTTTTTGGAAGTTTATCATGCCCCTTAGATGGGTACGCCCTTTCAACCCCAGACTGGAGACCGCCGATCTATACAGATGGCTCAGGAATTCATAGGGGTGGGCATACACAGCGCAGGCAAAAGAAAAGACTGTAAAAGAAGGTCAAGTATTCAGCTCCAATACTTCTAGTATGACGATAGACAAAGCAGCTGGCACTCGCATGGCTGGCGGAGCATAAAGAAACATTGATAGGTACAGTAAGCACTAACATGCTCCCCCCCCCCCTTTTTTTTCCCCTTATCCCTTTTCTGTAAAACCAGGACACCATGGAGTGAAGGGAAATGAAATAGCTGACAGACTGGCCACATCGGTTGGATGGCAAAGAAAGTAGATATGCCAGTCAACTCCAACTGGATACGTTGAGCATGGAGACACTGAGATGGCTGCTGCATCGGAAGACGGAGCATGAAGGGATCGGACCGACGTTCTAGGATGCTGATACGGACAGCACGTAACAGGTATGCAGATATTGGCCAGCTTCATAAAGCCAGCAGACGTGAGATACAAAAAAAGGGACGTGTAAAGACTACTGCAATTACTTATTTATATGTCACTACACACAGTCAGGCGGCGTCCGTGGCTCAGGCGTTGCGAGTCTGACTCGTAATCCAACGTACCGCGATCGAGACCCACTGCGGGCTGCGTGGATTTTTATCGTGGTATGGGAAGTCGCAGGTCGACCCAGCCTCAAATGGGTACCAGGATGGGCTGTCCTGGGAAAGTAAAGACGGCCGGCGTAATGCTGACCCCATTACCCACTGAGTGCCGATTGGTCTATAAAAATATGGGTGCTCTTCCCATATGCTCGATGCGCCTAAGGGCGTGTAAAGGGATCTTTACTTTACCTTACACACAGTCATGGAATAAACATTTCAAACTCAAAGAAACTTTTCTTTATTCTGATGACGAAATTCAGTAATTATAGCTGTCAATTTGTTCCATTTGTTTCCAATAAGAAATGCATAAATAAATAAAACATCGTCAAATGTAATATCAGAATTTACTGCTGTTTATGTTAATGTTTATTTTGATGTTTATGTCGAACGCTGATGTTTATGTTGAAGGCCAAATCTTCTTATTCTTCTTCCCGTTCGCCGGCTGTAAACTCCAGCGAAAAAGCTCTGGTTGTTCGTCCACTTCTGGACTCTAGTTATGTTGCAGAACCTGAGTGTTGCGTGTACATCCATTTCACAGGTCTGAGTTATTTGCATTCAGACAGTTGGTTCCTTGCCTCTCAGGCAGATGTTCTCCGACTTCGCAGGAAGCTCCCAAATAGTCGACTTGTGTGCAGACAGTGGGTCTATTCTTGTTTTCCCCACAATGGGGCCCCGAAAACCACGCGGAAAGAAGATGGAATCTAAGCAGCCATGAAGGTGTCCGGGGGGCCGTGAAGATTACCCAAATCATAACTCATAACTCATAACGCGTTGACTGTAGAATGCTCAAATTGCTACAGGTCTCGATATTGGGAAAGTCAGTTCTTTGAAATTTTAATGCAGTAAAACTTTGTTCACTTGGAATCTCAGAATTTTCGATTTGCATAATTGTCAGCTTAAAGAATACTTAATTTTAAATATCAAAACATGTTAATGTTGGGATTATATAAATATATAGACATCTTGGTAGTTATTCTGATTAGCATGCTGAATGAACAAAAGTACAGTTAACAATAAGTAAAACAAGAAATCTAAAATGTCATCTCAACAGTTCCCACACACAAAGGTAACACATTTCTGCGAGGGACCTTAATCAGTAATTTTAAAAAAAAAAAAAGCATAAGCGGACAAAAAGACAGAAATGGCAGCATATACTGTCATCTGAATATAAAACTGTAATGTCTATATTTGTTTCATGAAGGTAGTTCTCAAGTGTATGAAGTTTTATACATGCGTCTATGTTGCAGTAGGAAATATGCAACATAAAGCCAAAGTGTATAACCCAAAATAATGGCGATGGGCAAATGGTTATGTGTAAAAAGACAAATGAAACGGAGTATTCTTTACTTACCCATGTGGAATGTTTGAAGCCCCACCATGGCTTCTGTCAGGGGCGTGTGTGATGTCCTCGTGGGGTACAACTACCTAACTACCTACCTGAAACGGTGTCTCTGAGAAAAGTTGTCCTCTCGTGGGATGCAATTTGTTGTTGTTTTGAAGCCCCACCCTGGCTTTTGCCGGGGACCCTGAATATAGCTGGGCCATTAATATGACCTAGCCATAGATATGGCCTAACGGCTGAAAGGGGTTTCTGGGACCTTTCCTCGGGTGATACTCATCCACATTGTGGGACGCAATTTTTCGATATTATAAAGCCCCACCCCGGCTTAAGACGAGGGCTCCAATATAACTAAAGATTTTAAATTCTTTAAACTCAAAAATATAACAATGCAATTATATAAATATTTCTCCTCAGAGGCTAAACCAGGTAATTTGTATCATTCTCTTTCAAACCCAGAGAAAAGAACGAAACATGTGCTAGGTATTACCAATCGGTCATTCTCAAGATTGGCTACAAAAGTATCAGTTCTTTCTACGCGCACCAGTGTTGAGCAAGGAAGGAAAAAATAAAATTGATAGCTTTGACAAAGAGGTTATTAAACAAGTGATATACCGAAAGTTGGAAGATAAACTATTATTGACGCTTGAAAATTGAAAAGTTAAAACTTAAACTTAGACAGAACCATGGCATGTACATCCTAAAGTACATTATGAAAAATTGTAAGAGGTGCCGGGACTTACGCTCCATGATAAACAGTTGCAGAAGTGCCTCTAATTTATGTCATTCTTCTATACTTCTTTTTACATGGGTACCGTAAGATTTGTTTTGTAAGCTAACAAAAATTATGCAAGTGATGAAATTAACAGAGAAATCGTCTGTTTCGATAAAATGTTTCGGTCTTTATATTATTTGTGTATAAAACATTAACGTCGAGATAAAAATAGACGCTTGCTTGTGGCCTGGTGACAGGGGTTCAGACCTTCGTCAGTGCGGAGTTTTAATTAACTTGCGTTTCTAACGATGTACGGTATGATGATGACCATAGCACCCAATAATTAAGTACCGATTGTTTAGCCTCTCCAAACTATGTTTATACACAGAAGAACGGCAGCTAGCAGCCCATATATTGTAAACCTATAAATGTGAAGATATTTTATTTTGTACTTTATTTAAACACTAAAAAAATAGAATTCATGCTCCTTCTCAATTTGCACTTCTTCGCTGAGTTTCCCAAAGGCTGCAAACTCCTTGACTTCATAGGTTCTCTTACAGTAAGTGAAATATTCCACAAGCTTGGTTCCCATAGCTTCTGTAAGAACCGTGTCGGCTTCTAGGGTTTGCAAGGCACTTTCTAGATCTGTAGGCAGTAGAACACTTTTGTCACCTTCTTTAGGCAGTTGCAGTTTTCTCTTGACTCCATCAATGCCAGCAGCGAGAGAGCATACCATGACTAGGTAGGGGTTGCTAGCGCCCGTTGAAAGTCTGTTCTCAATGTAAACGTTGTCGCCCTCCACCTTGACTCTGTAGGAAGACAAGCGTCCATGGCAGTTCCAGTCAGCGTATGTAGGAGCCCATGGTTGTCCTATTCTCCTGTTTCAAATATAAATTAGAAATTTAGGTACATTCACAGACAACACCCACATCTTTCAATTGATAAAGCTGTAAAATATGTACACATTAGTAGGTTAACATTACCTCTCAACACATGCTACTAAGTTTTCAGTGTCTAACTTTCATTTTATAGATGTCTGATACAATGATAATATACCCTGCCATGTCTAAACTATTCAACAACCTTTCTTCCTTCTGTTTTTTCCCCTTGAAGGTGTGACACCATAGGCAACGAAAATCTCTATCTGGTGGGCAAACCAACATGGTGAATTTAAGACAATCCCTCCTACCTGCAGAGAAGTTTTAACCGGGGCAGCTGTAACTGCTGCACTAGGCTGATGTAAACTGAGGCATGTGCTTGTAAGGATTCAGTGGCATACAACAACAGAATTGCGGCCGGGGTGGAAAAGGGGAGGGGGGGCATAATTACATTTCTGGTTCTTCTTCTTCTTTTTCTTCTTCTTTTTCTTCTTCTTTTTCTTCTTTTTCTTCTTCTTCTTCTTCTTCTTCTTCTTCTTCTTCTTCTTCTTCTTCTTCTTC